GGTTCACTTGGAGTTTTTACGTGAGGCCTAGACTGGATTCACCCAGGCGCTTCAGCTTGGCCTCTACGCCAGGCCGCTCTGGGACGGGGTTGGTGTGTGCGCACGTGCTCAACGGGGTTTCAGCGCCTCCGCAGCACAGCCCTGGTGAGGGCCACCGCTAACTTGCATCCATAGCTCTGCTTTTAATATTGGGCTGGCAGAGGCATTCCCCATCTCCCCTTTGCCAGGGACCCATCTGTGAGGCTGAGGTGGTCAGTGCAGGAGCTGCATGACCAAATATTGCAGGGAATCCAGCTCAGACCAAGGGGCCTTCTTGGAGGCCGCTGGACTTTAATTCCTCTAGGAGTCCTGGCCCTGCATTGACTCCAAACCACTAATTCTTCTAACATGGCCTCAGAAGCCCTGTCTTACCACTTGCCTGCTTCTCAGGAAACGTTAGGTCGTTATGCCAAGGAGCATAACTGCTCGTCTTCACATCAGCTTGGTTTAGAGACGGTATCATCGCCTTGCTCCAGTGAATAACAGCTTCCAGAATAAGGTATCCTACACTTGCCTCCTGCGGTGGCTGTTCCCAAGGGGGTGAAGCGTGGGAGGCTGAGTGTGAGTGACGAGTCACGTTGTTGCTAGTCAAGCACTAGCGTTTGGTGCTGAGGCGAAACCAAGGCAAGTGTGTGGAAAAAGCTGAGGCCACGTCTGTTCGCCATCCACACCTGGCGTGCCTTACGGTTGGGCTTGATGATCTTGAAGGGCTTTTCCAACCATAACGATTCTATGAATCCATGGTCTCGGGCACCAGCCTTCACATGGAGCTTTGACGCAAGCCGCCCTTCCCAGGCAAGCCACCCTCGCTGGAGTCATGGGCGTCTCTCATGGCCTGGGGGGCTGGCCGCAATGTGGGCCACGTGGGATCCTGGTGCCACAGGGCTTGGCGCGCAGTGTGCGGGGTCCCGGTGCTGAGGGGTCTCGGTGCCGCGGGGTCTCAGTGCCGCAGGGTCCCAGTGCCGCGGGGTCCCACTGCTGCGGTGCTGTGGGGTCCTGGTGCTGCGGTGCGTGGGGTCTCAGTGCCGCGGGGTCTCGGTGCCGCGGTGCGCGGGGTCTCGGCACC